AAAACTTCGGTTTCAAAGGTTAGATCATAATTAGAACCTAGATCTAGAGAATTTACAGTCTACATTTTTTTATCTAGCTGATACAGCTGGAGGCTAATCACTTAGCATGTGATATGAGGGCGGTTTGTTATTTAGCAATTCACAGAGCGTGCTCATAATGATAGAATATGACAACCAGTATATTGTAAGCTCGTTAGTAGTGTTGTAAAATGGTTATTGTTATTACTTGTTAGAACCAAGATTATATGTAAAGCTAAGAAAAGCGCCTTTAGCCAAGGTAGCGTAATTCAATCATATGCATTTAGATTTACATAAGGCAGAAGCAGGAGGGAGCTATGCCTTTCCAACAACGTTAGTCAGTCAGTTAGCCAAATTGACAAATTTGTGGTTTTGTGAAATTTTTGTTTTTACTGTACTGGTTTGGTTTGAATTTCGCGCAAAGCTACAAGAGGGCTATCTGCGCTAGCCGTCCATAATTTAGCATTGTAAGACTAGAGGAAAGGCAGCTAGTCATCACCACCCACCGCCAACTCTTGGGCTACTCTTTTACCAACGAATAGTGAGATTAACCGTCACATTATTTCGCCCCCACGGCTGAAAGGGCGAGCATGTTTGGTGTGACGGGGATTCGAACCCGCGACCGCTCTAACCACCTGGCCATGCTGGGCCCTTTACTGTACCGACTTTCTCATGTGTTTTGGTTGCTTGTTACTCTTCAGTTTGTTTACTACTCAATTGTGTGTGTAAAGTGCTTATAAAGTATTATTTGCCTGCTGTTTGCAGTGTGTTTGAGATTTTAATTTGTATTGCACAATTGGCCCATTACTACTATAAGTACTACCGCACTTATGATATAACATGTAAAGAGAGAGATACACTACTAACTATGAATTGTTGCCTCCTCCTCTCCCAGGCGATAAGACTGAGATATAATTTGTTTCATCTCGATGCCAGCATGCTACAAACTCTGAAAATCATAAATTAAATTCAAATCTTGAGGGGAAGAGTGACGATTTTTTGTATACTTCCTTTTCACAGTGTTGGTAGTCGTTTACTTGAAGCCTATTTAGAAGAAACTTGACTTACACAGTTGAATTCTCTGATGATACGGTCCCAGTACTTGTGTAAGTCAAGTACACAAACAACACTTCCAATGAGGTACAAGCTTCCAACTCTTGTTGGTCTGTCAAATCCTTCTGTTCATTTTTATCATGTGTGAAAGTTTATAAAACTCAACAGAACTGTGTCCGGGACTGTTTTCCATAGCTTGTTGAGACGAAAACGCAACAATGAATTAAAGCTCAATGAAAAAGACACTAGTTTAACTAGCCACAGTTACAAGTATAGCCTTCTGAACCCCCAAGAACCAATAAATATTTACTAGATGGATCCCTGTAGGTTAAATACCGTTATGGTAAGAGTTCAAGTTTCGACCTATTGCAGCTAATCTAGATGTAATTAGCATTTAAATGAAGGGGGTTCTTTACAGCATATCAAGCAACAGAATGACTTACGCGTCACTGTCAAAGTTGTTTTAACTAACTTTTTTAAAACTAAGCATAAGTCAATCCAGTCAAATTGTATTTTACCTTTTTGACTGAAAAGGGAGTAAACCCCTAGTAAGACGGAATTAATTGTAAAAAACTCAGAGCATATGTTTGTTTTAATAAAATCAATAGATGCCTTACATGACTATTTCTTATCTTCTTAGCTCTCTTCGTAATATCGATTATAGAAACTTTACGTAGAGTAGTTAAATTCTAGTTTCTTACCTCCGCCACCGAAGGTAGACGGAGGTTATGTGAAACCCAGGTACTGTTCTTTCTCTAAAAATTATCTATCCTACACACAAATACAACATTTCAAGGCTTATCGCAAAAATGGTTGGGCAACAGAATCAAAAAATGATCACATAAAACAGTGGAAGCCGTTGAACATGGTATTGATCAACCTGTAGAGTTCTTTTATAGAGGAATAGGTGAACATTATCAGTGATATTTGCAACTACCATCGCCTGCTCTCATATAAAACATAGAAGCTAACTCTGCTGTCATACAACGTATGCTTGACTTAGTGAACCAACCTAACACACTGTCAGATTGAAAAGTCCAAAGGTTTAGCACGAAGGACATCAATGTGGAGAAAACCCGAAGCAAGAGATGCGGCTTTGGACATTCTTCAGTTGTTTGAAGAATGTCTGTGGTCACTGACATGAAGCAGGCAATATCATTCACACAAAAACACCTAACTAAAGACGTATGGATCAGAGATAATGGTCTTTTTACAAATATTCAATCTCGCCTTGCCTCAGGTAAGGTGCACTTTCTCTGGATTCAGTACGACAATTAGAATTACCGATATCGATGACGCTCCCGATAAATTGGGCAATGACTAGACTGAAGGTGGAGTGAGAACACTTGGTGTGTGAAATGTGACGTTTTTTATTATTGAAGTTATGGCCAAGGTGCTATCTTTTGGTAATTTTTGTGATTTTCAGCATTTATGGAATAAGGTGAACACGGTATGTGTAAGTAAAGAAATTCGAAGATTGGGCAAAATTTCCATCTTATAGGCCCTTGTCCTGTTGAACCCTAAGATCACAACACTTGAGCTGTTGTATTCTCACTGTTTGAACCATATAACAGTAGCCGTTTGCAGCTAACTTTTGTTTTGTTCATTTCTATCCATTTTTACTATAGGAATGCAAAGTACGTAAAATTTCAATGAAATTAAATTAGCACGTCATGTTGTATTTATTGACTTTGGGACAAAATACCTACAAAATCAAATGAATATCAATGTATATTATTAGTATCTAAATTAGCGATTATCGCACTGTAATAAATAAAACCAGTAAAGTTAAATTACAGTTAAAACTTTTAGGTTTCTAGTTACATAATCATTTTTAGATTCTATAATTTAACCGTTATAACTCTATTATAATAATAACCAGAAAATATTCAGTACATGAGCTATAACCATGTACCCTGATAACTTATGACATGGTTTTTGATTCATCATTTTAGGATAGGACCTCCCTCCTAGACTGATGGATCTTCTTCTTTTTTTTTTTTTTTTGCAATTTCAACATAATTAAATTATTTATTGGGGAAAAACAAAATACTTTTATTAAATGTTTGCATAACGATATCAAAATCAAAACAAAAAAATCGGCAAAGATTTTATAGAAACACACTGACATTTAAATTAAAATGTTGGTTATCAACTTATATAAAATTTTGGTAAGTTGCACGCTATTTCAAAATAGGCACAAGCCAACTAAACTTCAGTTCAGAATGGATATTTCAGAATTTTATCGATTTTCTGATAAGCTTTCTAGTAAAATGTATAATTTGACTTGGCGTAACTTAACTAATTAAAATCGAGCGATTCATTCTCTAGAATTATTGGAATAAATTAGTTAAGGTCTGCGTATGTGTTGCCCCCCAGTGGCACAGCGGTATGTCTGCGGACTTACAACGCTAGAACCTTGTGCATAATTATAAACAAACAATAAAGAAACAAGCGTATGTGTTATAGTTACCTTCTCATACACGTTATATTTTTTTACAGTTTGTTTGTTTCCGAAGTTTGGTCAAAGCTACACAAGGACTATCTGGGAATATTCGTCCATAAATTTTAGCTGATGGGCTAAAGAGAAGGCAGCTAGTCTACAGTATCCACAGTGCACATTCGGTTAATAAGAACTTCCTAGTGTAAGGAAAAAAGGACGTCAACAACACCATATCTGCTACATCCAGTGCCGACGAGGCCTTTTGCTTAATACTAGGACTCTTCAGACCGACTGGGATACGACGGATATAGTAGTGGTTGAGACGCTTTTCATATTAGCAACAGTTGTTACGGTGTGAACTAGATTAAGTTGGTGGAGTGTAATTTTTCAATTTTAATTAAAGCATCAGAATTAGAGTAAGGATATTTTAACACCATATATGAATATTGAGATTAGACTACAGCTCTAAAGTGCGGAACGCCTTTTTGCGACAACAGGTCACGAAACGTGAATACTCGGATTCATAACCCGGACACACTAGATACTAGGTTACACCAGGTTCTTTTCTTAGAAAAACAAATGATCCACTGAAAAAATTCCAAATCGTTATTTATTTGCACTTTGTATAAATAAGTTCAATATATATATAGAAAGGCTTTTTACATATGACTGCTTGCTACAATAAACAGAAATCATTAAGGAAAAAGACATGTTTTAATTTAACATAAACACACATACATATATATATATTAATTTTATTGTTGAAACTTTACAAAATATGTAAAACTTATCAATACATCTGTATTTGTACCTGCCTAGAAAGAAAATAATTATGTTTATTAAATAATAATTATGCTTAAAACGTTTTTCATCTGAAGAGGTAAATAATTATAATGTTTTATCACTGATGATATAAGAAAGCTAGTTTTTTGTTTTTAAACACAAAGCTACACAATGGGCTTTCTGTGCTGTGCTCACTGCAGGGATCGATATCCGATTTATAGCATTACAAGCCCCCAAACTTACCGGTAAACCACCAGGGGCTATAAGAGAGTTTAAAATTAACTAAACAGAAAAATAGCCCTTAAGTGAAGATACTATTTCTTTCTTTTGACCTTTTATATAAAAGTGATGGTAACTAAATGATAATTCATATACTTTACACATATATTTAAAAATAAAGGTAAAAGGTTTTCCATCAATCAATCCAACATTCTGTCAATTAGTGTATATATATATATATATGTGTGTGTGTGTGTGCGCGCGCGCGCGCGCGTGCGTGTAAAAGCGAGCTTCGGATTTATTTACTTGAGACGTTTGGTTTTAAAGGTTTTTTTAACTATTCAAATAACTTATTATCCGAAATCTCATGAAACTATTATTATCTTGTTTTCATATTTTTTATTTAATTACCACAATAGTTTTCGTGACTTCGAACAGTTGTCCTTCTCAGTCGTTAGGCATAAAGTGGACGTCACTTCATTGATTGATGTTTTTATACATTCTGTTATTAATCTAACACCCTACTTCAAAGCTATCATATACGTATTATCTCAATAAGTTATATTTATACGAAAAAATAACAGCGCTTGAAGATTACTTGAAAAGTTTTTGCTATGGCAGTACAACTCTGAACTACATTGTTTAGTATAATTAAACATATTTAAATGTTTATCTGTCTTTTTAATCCTTAATGCCCATTACTATACACGAGACGAAGAACCTTCAGACAGTTTCCTTAGCTTTCCATTGAGGAAAATAGTACCACCATATCTCAGTCGAACATAATGTTTCTTCATATTTGTTTCAGATAAATAACTATCTTTAACACATAAATATTATAAACTACGCCAATCCCACAGCTTTTTTCATCATTTGTCCCAGTGAAGATGAACACTTTAAATAACTTTTCCAGCATTCTTCTTTATAAAGTCCTCGCGAGATGGCAGCAGTATATTTCTCCATACCGGGAATCTTGAAGCTGTAAAAAAATCAGTTGCCATGTCAAGTACTATAATAATGTGCCTAAGATAGTTCACATGTTACACAACTTTCAGTTTTTTTTGTGTAAAATGTACGATGATGCACAGGAAGGAATGCTAGTCTAATAATCTACAATTGAAATCAAAACCCATTAAAATACTTTAATGGTTTTATTATTATTTGATATATTATAATTTTTATGATAATAACAAACAGGTGATATAGGTAGTCACAATAGTTACAGTGAAGCTTCCTTTTAAATATCTTAACAATGAACGTTTGCTACGATTATTCTATCAATTTAAAAACAAAAGGAAACATAGAAATGACAATTGTTAGCTGTCAACCATTCACCAAATATTATTTATGAATTTTTATCTAAATACCTGAGGTTCTTCAAGATGACTTCTGGTATCCCAATTTTATGAAAAAACTGTTCCAATTCGCAAATGGCTCTCTCCTTACATTTCTTTTCCTTGATACCGAGCATTCTAAATGAACGTTCTGGGTAATCCTGAGAAGTTATTGCTCCCAGAAACTTTTGAAGATCGAAAACAGGAAACTTCCAGAGGTTGTATCTGGAGGTTTTCTCTGAGTGCCGATGGGGGTCATAGTACAAAGGATTCAACGGGCCAGCATAAGAATACGTAGGTATTCCATAGTGATAGCCAGTGGTCAATCCAAACGTTTCACCAAATATGGCCACTAACAGAACATGAAGGAGGTAACCTCCACCAATGGCGGCTAGAACTCCTGTTGCGGTAGACAACAACTCATAAACGCTGTTGATGGCCTCAACCCCAAGTCCTAAGCCCAGTAGTTTCGTAATGATGCGGCTCTGGGAAGGTAAGCTAGTCTTAACAGCTGTATCTACTGACCCCTGTTTACTGATGATCTCTTCATTCGCAGATGTAGTAACAAACAGACATTTGGCCATAAGCAAGGACAGGATAACATGTACACGTATCCCCATCGTCATTTGTTGATATCTAAAAAAGTAATAATTAACTTCCAATGAGAACAAACTATTTACTTAGAGCGAAACTCAAAATCAACCTGGTAATGAGTACAGCTAATTAGGTAAGATAATCTTAAAATTCTTACTAATAAAGATTAGAATGCAATGTTTTAATATTTAGTACAGTTTTATATATATATATATTTCGTGGCAGTTGTTTTGTCTTTAGTATCTCACATAAGCCTCGGAGGGGCTTGGGAGACAACCAGGGACGCTCAGAAACTGTGGTTTATCTTCAGCCTATTTAGTACAGGAAAATCCCAGTTAATATTTATATATCTGCATTTTTTTATTCAGTATCCTATAATTACCAATTCTACGTTTAAAACACAACATTAATGCAGCATCTTTACTGCATTTATTATGAAACAAGTTGCTTATAGTTATAGATAAGAAATAAGTTGATGAAATGTTTCTACTTATTTTTAATTATGTGATTCAGAACGTGTTGACAGTTTCTTTACACAAGTTAGAGTTAGTCGCATACAAGTACGTAATACTATAATTTTTAACTTAAAATATGCTCGACGTGATGTTACAATGGCACAAAATCTGCTCTGATCTAATTATAATTATCTTACCAAGTATCTAATATTACAGCATGTATATACATATTATTATCATCAGTGTGAGCGTCTTAATCTCTAGTTACAGCCGGGTTCGGTATCACTATCAGGAAACACGATCTGTAATGTCAAGTAGCCATGTGACATGACAGATACGGTTTTTTTTTTTCAGAAAAGCAAACACATAGTTAAGCATGTTTGACTATATAGATAATTCGGCTTAGACCGTGGCGACAATGCGATGAGTCCTTTCACATACCCACTTCTTTACAACGCAATAGTGTGGGCAGACTTGTCGTGTAAGTACACAGTAAGTACAACGTTACCAAGCCTAAACATGATACTCGTCTTTACTTCAATCTCTCACAAAATCATACAGTACCCTCAAACGTCAATTATAATGAATAAAAATAATTGTTAAATATTTTACAAATGGTCTTTTAATCGAGAAGAATATTTAGAAAATAAAGAAAATTTTAAGTGTATTTTTGTATATATATCGCGATTTTAAAATCGAAGCAAAATCAGTATACTGAAAACCCAACACATCGCGTGCGATGACAGCCTCTTTCGTTGTTTTGTTTCCTGATCTGTAATTGGTCCGTATTATATTTCCATAGCGATTTTCAAGCCCCGGTGAAAATACAATGTCCGATTCAAGCTGGTTTGACGAAACAAATTACTATTTATAAATCTATTGTAAAATAATTATCAAACTCATATCTATATAGGTAGTTCCTAGCTGTTAACTATATGTATTCAACACGCTTTGAAGCCAGTTTATGTCCAAAAGGAGTTCACAGTTGATTCTTCTAATGCCAACAGACGTAAACTTTTGACTTTGAGTGCGAGGTGGGTATGTTTTCAGTCTTCATGTGGATAGAGCAGGTTCGTCTCATTGTTACTGTTTATATTGTTGTTATTTTTTCTGTTCATTAGCCAATCTCTTAATTAAAAACATCTTGCAAACATATACAACCAAACCTAACTTAAAGTTTTTTGTGTTTTTTTTTTACTTTTATTTAAGATCTACAACTAACTGAGATACATATTTATAACGTATATATTTCGAAATTAAACTCCATACAACTATGAAGAAAATATTAAATTAAGATAACGCAATGCATCTATTATTAATACTACTTTATTTATTTAATTAATCATTAAATGTGAAACAATTTCAAGCAATTACGTAACAGCAGGCCTGTAATACTTCAAACAAAATCAGGGATAAATAAATATTTTTCTTTACTTCTTTCAGTGAGAAAAGGAGTTAAAAATGCTTGATAAATTTCAAATTATACATATATGTGTATATATTAAACTTTCAGGAAAAATACACCAAGTATTGCTCTCAGCATCTATTAATTAGTTTCTAAACAAGTTTTATGTCATTCTAACTATTAAAACCTTTTGAAGCTCAAAATTAACGCTTTATAAGTGCAACCTAAGGGAATAAAATACACCCACTGTTTAAAATAAACCAACTATTGAACATCTTTCCAACAGCTAATAACGAAACCTTAAGTTTTATATACATGTTCAATTCAACTTGTATTGAATCTCAAAATAACAGCAGAAATACTACTTAAACACTAAGTATAAAGGCATATTATCGACAAAGGAAGAATTTTTAGCGAAGCACCTAGTTAAAACATAACAACTTATATAAACTATTACTTTGAAAATTAACTATATAATCTTTGAATGCTATTGTAACCTGAAATAAAAGGGTAACTTCATCATTCTGACTTTATCAAACAAAATTAGTGCTATATGAGTAGCGAATGCACGACACCGTGAAAAATGCAGTAAACTCAATGAAGCACGTACTTTACTGAATTATTCTTAACTTTTCATTCTGAACACGCGCGTCAGGCTATCCGTCTACCAGTTACGAATCACGGGAGTCTAATTCTGTGGTTTTTATTATTTTAATGTATTGTTTCTTCAATGTTTTTAAGCCCTTGTACATGTTAAGCAAGTTTTGGAAGCGACATCAGGTGCTGAAAATTATTATTATTTTGTCAGGAACAAAATAAGCAAGTAATTTCAAACAAAACTATGCGTACTGTAAAATAATAAAAACAAAGATAAATTCATAAATGAAAAAAATCTAAAGCCATTTCTAAGGAACTTAATAAATTTTCTCACTTACAAGTGTTTAATAAACAGGGTCTCTCTTAGTGAACGATTTCAGCTTTCCATAACCAGTGTACAGTAGTCTCAAACTACATTTCTTTAAGGTCAAACATTGAATTAAAAGTACAGTATTGAAGTAATTGTCCTCTGTAACTTACTATGTGATCTTACTGTATAATAAGGTATCTAATCATGTTGTACATAATTGGGTTTTCTCGGGGTACTCCCGTTTCCCCCCACATCTAATTCTCAGGCATTGGATCCGTAGATCCCAGCCTCGGCACCTTGATCCACTGATCCACGCCAGGCCCTGCAAAGGCCCGTTTGCGTATTTTGTTTCGATAACTTGTCATATTCAGCTGACGACTTGCTCCTTCTTCAAAGAACAACCGGTCTCTGTTTCTGCTACGGCTTGGACTTGCCTTCACTTCTGCCTACCTGCCTCTCCTTCATACGACCACCCATAGTATATGTGTAAATATACATATATACAAATTATTAAGGGAACAATTATTTTTAAATCTAAATAACTGCCAGTTCTTCTTCTTCTTCTGTACATAATTAAACCATAAACACTGATGTAAATTACGTGATTACAATAGTTTTGTATTTTTAGTCAACGTTTTTTTTTTTGCACCGTTATAAAACAATGAAAGATTACACATTCAAAATTATCTTACCTTATTTTCGAGATTGATTAAGAAACCTTTTATGAACAGCCTGTATGGTTTAAAAAATAACACATAAGAATACACAGAACTGTCCGACGCAATCCGATAATAGTCAAATAGCGACGACTTTACTATTGACCTATTTATATAGGTAGCACTAGAAGTCAGACCTACCCACGCCATGTGATAGGTTGTAAACATAGTCCGGTTAAGTTCTTAGTTGTTACGTAATCTCAAAACTCCGCCTACTCAGCAGACGAATTAAAACTGAAGCGCTTGATTTTTAATAAGAATAATAACTACAGTTTAACAGACGCCCCTATTCTACGCTTAATAATCCTCCCAAATTGCCGGATTACTAGAGTAACAAATAATAATGAGGAATTAAACGTTATACAAGCTATGTTGTTACCACCCGGTAAATAATAATGATGAGAAAACTAATTTCTGTCATGTTAATCGAAAATAATGTCTCTCTGCAGATGGATATAAAGCAGTGGGTCGCAAGAGATATAAATTATTTATGAAATAATGATCCTAAAATGTTTTTGAACAAACAAAATAAAAACACAAATATAAAAAGATTACTCGACTTTAGTATGATATATTAGAATAGCCCGGCATGGCCCGGTGGGTAGGACGCCCGATTCGCAATCTGCGGGTCGCGGGTTCGCACTTCGAAGTTTGGGATCGTGAGTGCGTTATAAGGGTGATGGTCAAATCCTACTATTCTATTACAGAACCCCACGAGTTTGCGGTGGGTAGTGTTGACTAGCTGCCTTCCCTCGAGTCTATTACTTCAAACGTAGAGACGAATAGCACACATAGTCCTCGTGTTGCTTTGCGCGAAATTCAACAAACAACAAAATCGCTAGTATACTGCACCTGGATTATCGCACCTAGAAATGGTCAGTCAAAACACATGAAATAATTTCTCTCGTAAAAAATCTCTAGTAGTATTTGCTCTTGTTTCACCTTAATTCTTAACTCTAAATTATCCTTTTATCAAAATACGTCGAAGAAATATGTGGTCGCAAGACTTGTTATGTGTGTTATACTTTATCATTTGTTACTTTGTACATTTAAACCTCAAGAACTTTATACTAATAAAAAGTACAATAGACGATTAAGTGCACTAAAAGTGATAACTTCACAGAACACGCTATTTTGTAAAGCAGTAGTTATTGTGACCACAGCCGCTGACATTTAAACCCCACAATTATTTATTTTTTATAAATTATTTATAAATTACATTAAGTATACAGTTCAAATTGGGCTTTTCTCGGTTCGAGGTATCGTATAAACTGTGTAAAGAACAAAAACATTTGTTGACAACGAACGCCATATACACGAACAGGACATTAAAGAGCGTAGGTAACCAAAGCACGCGGAACGTATTGTATGTATAATCCGAGATGTCTATGCTGTCGACTTGGATAATAAATCATCAATGAAGTTATAAGTATCACAGAGGCGGCTTGTCATAATTATAGAAAAAAATATATAGAGAGTTGTTTAAGTTGGAACATTTAAATATTACGTAATATAAATGGTGGTACTGACATGAGTTGTCACCCACAGGATGCCCTTTTAGTTTTATTGTTTTTATTATTAAACGTATTTACATAAAAAGAAAAATACAGTTTGTTTAACATAAGCATGGTTGTAAATAAACTAATGGATAAAGTTGAACGAAAGGAGATGGCCCGGCATGGCAAAGTGGTTAAGGCGCTCGACTCGCAATCTGAGGGTTGCGGATTTGAATCCCCGTCACACCAAACATGCTCTCCATTTCAGCCGTGGGGGCGTTATAATGTGACGGTCAATCCCCCTATTCGTTGGTAAAAGAGTAGCCCAACAGTTGGCGGTGGGTGGTGATGACTTCCCTCTAGTCTTACACTGCTAAATTAGGGTCGGCAAGCGCAAATAGCCCTCGTGTAGCTTTGCGCGAAATTCATAACAAACAATGAAAGAAGATATATTTACATACGCTATTATCTAGAAGACCCAAGTTTTACTTAATTATACAATCTGTTATCATATCAGAATTTGGTAGAAATGTATTAAAAACTGCAAAAATTAAATAATTGAATGACAGATATAGAAATGTTCAAAATCATGAAGAAATTCAGTCTGTAGATTTTCATTAAAACACGAGAGTTGGCCAATTCTAAAGATATGTTATGTCATGAAATGTGAAAGAATATTTGATAAGAAACAACAGAAATGAAAACAAGAATTTAAACAATACGGCGATCCTTTTTTGGTTACAGTCAGCTAGAGAGACAGATAGACGGATATAATATATTTTAAACTCAACGCTAATTATACGGAAGTGCACATGAGTTTAATTTCTTACTATAAACTTTGGCCATCAGTTTCAGCAGTATGCTCTGCTGGGTGTTTCTTTAAAAATTTCTAGCTCCCTACAAAGTTAGTAGGTATTTTATCTACAGACTCCCCGCTGTAAGTTTTATAATCCTTTATGGAAGATATTAGCATCCTTGAAGCATCTACTATCATATCCTCTTCAAAGTTACAATTACGTCACACCATGGCACAGTGGTAAGCTTGAGGGCATATAACGCTCAGATTCGGGTTTCAATTCATGCCATGGGTACATAATAGATATCCCATTTTGCAGTTTTGTGCTTAACAACAGACAAACAATTAAACGTTATAAACACGAGTGTGTGGTATGTTAGAACGGTCGTGTTGATCAGACTAAAGTCTGTGCAATCATGCAGCACTGCATTCACTCAGGGTAGCCAAACCGAAGCGTGGCAGATGTACAGGATGACGCTGAATATTTAGTCACCTTCGTGGCCATCATTTAATAACCCATGACGAAAGAAACATGAAGGGGACGTCTGAGTAGGGCAGGGCCAGGGATTATGTGGTAGCTCAAAACAGTTGCTAAACGCCTGTCCTCTTTGAAACTGATTAATTTGCATTACCTTGAATTAACTCCGAAAATATTTTTTCTTTTTTCTAAATGCTTTATAGACATATTCATTATGTGAACATAGCAAAGATCTTATTGAACGTAGTTCTAGCAGAAACCCTCAAGGAAAGGCATAATGTTTGGGCATAAATATCCTTTATATTGCTTTGGTTTGTTCGTCCAATTTCGTGCAAAGCTACTCGAGCCGTATCGGCGCTAACCGTCGCTGATTTTGAAATGATAAGATGGAAGGCGGCTAGTCAACACCACCCGTCGCCAACTCTCGGGCTACTCTTTACCAACGAATAGTGGGATTAACCGTAACATTATAATACACCCGCAGCTGAAAGGGTGAGCATGTTCTGTGACGAGATTCGAACTCACGAACCGCAGATTGCGAGAGGAGTGTCCTAACCACCAGATCATGACATTTTATACTGCAAACTGTTGATAGGCATAAAATAATTAAAGATTCTGATAGCGAAAGTATTAAAACCTAGCCTGTTTCAAGTACTGTATTATCATATATCTTGCACCTTTTTTAAAGTGTTGCTAATATAATTTGCCGCCTGAAGCGGAAATGCGACTACTTTCGAGGGTTTCGTACTGGTCTTGATCATTTACGTTTCTTTTACCTTTACACGTTCAGACTGATTTCAGAAAACAAATAAGTCAGAAATAGAAGACTATTCAAGCAGAGCATCATTAATTAAGTGAATAAAATTATTTAGGCTTTGTGATAAAAAACAAGCGAAACTTGATCGCTGTTAATGGTTATGAAGATTCTGTTACTTAAACAAAAAGAAAGTTAATTTTACCTTCACCTTCGTGTTTCATAAAGAAGTACCTTAATAGATATTTCCAAATCACAAGATTATGTGATTATATTACCTTAATGTTTTACATGGATTGGGCAACATCATAAGCGCACGGTGATACAAATACACACACCAGTCTTTACCTACGTTAGTATAGTTAGTTCTACACGATATAAAAAAATCTGACCGAGTGGCCGGGTGAAGCCTGAACGTCGCCACCCTTCTCTCTGAACTCTACATTCACCTACACACTTTTTTGTGTGGGTAGCCCTGTCATGAACACAAATCGTTGTTTTTAACCTGCAAACCCACCCATCAGTTAGTCGCTCGGTGCCACTAGGTTAAGGACAACTTTGCCCACGCGTTAACAGATACTGTCACCCAATAATTCAAACTTGCCTTATACGCTCATGTTTACCTACTACAGATGTCAGTGGAAACTTATTTACTGTGTTTCCATTTATTTCTTTTCTACGAGGATTGGATTTAATGTAAATAACAGTTTTACAACATAGAAAAAAACTACCTAGATAGCAAACATGATTAGTTTTCATGCATTTTTTAACGATAATGAGTGCTTGAGGAAGTGTTCGTGAGTTGGCATCGGTGAAACCTAAGTGCCTCATTACTAATGCGTAAGCTTAATTAATCCAGATACGAAAGAAACGAACACGAACATAATATTTTGTTCACAATCATAAAGTTAAAATAAAGCTGTAATTTGAGGTTGAACCTTTCAACTTTACGAATTTATCAGATTCACTTAATAATCTTTTAACGTTACGGTTGCAAAGGTGAGAAAGGTGTTGTTTATTTGAGGTATTATGTGATATGTTTTGAAACGATCCCTTTCAGTTTTAAGCATTTCGGAGTTAGTGTCCATTTCAAAGGTAAGAGTCAAGTACTGGAAAATAATGGTCGTAGAATAAGTTCTTAATTACTTAAACACTTCAGCTGGCTTGCGCCCGTGGCTTTAATATTCGATTCTATTGTTGTATTATATTTCAACTGTTCCCGAAATCTATCAAGAGAAAGTTGAAAACTTATAAAACGTTTCCTGTTTCCAATTTTTTACAATATAGTTTATACTGTCGTTGTTTGTTTTCTTGCTGTTGTTAAAAAAATTAAATCCTTTATTCAGTTAGAGACAAGCAAGGATTCTTTATCGGGAGACTTGGCCAATAGATCCAAGGAATCACGCGTTAATCTTATTGTCATCGAAAATCCATAATACATTCTCTGAGATACTTGAACTTTTAATTCAGATTAAATATGATATTTCGCATAGTTTTTTTCCCTCTATCTCCCTTATTTTGGGGTCTCCCGGTAGGAAAGCGGCGAGTCTAAGGACTT